TAGTTGAGAATTGAACTGATGCTCTTGCTGGCCACCGCATCATTGTCTGCCTTTTGAAAGTCCTGCTTGCACAACTTGCAGAACATGCTTCATGTGTCAAGCTTCAGTGTGTATATATATATATGTATATATTAATATATGCATACGTTTTACATAAGTCCAACTCTTGCAAGTTCCTTGAAAGCAAGTGTTCAATGGCCTTTGGGCGCGTAAGAACCTGTCTTGCCAGCTCTGGATGTGTGACAGCCAAAGCAGGTTTTGGCCCGAAATACAGCTTGAACATGCGAGGGTTCCTGGGGCCAAAGCTAGGAAATACAGCTTGTCCATGTGATGACAAAGGCAATTCACTAAATTCTCTGACTTCTGACTTCTGTCCCTCTGAGCATGAGCTTTCAAACATCTGAGGCAAGAGCTCATTGCCTTTTTGCAACAATGCCTCACAAATTGAATTCTACCCTCCATATTCAGTGACTACAATAACGCACGATGTGGTGTTGGCAACGACAGGTTTGATTTGGGGGAAGCGTGCAAGGGGCTGTCACTCCCAGTTGCTTCATTGGCAGGATTTGTTGAAAGTTAATCTCATCTCTGCATGGGTTGACTCTCAGTGCATCTGGGCATCTGTTGTTTCAATCAAGAAAGGACAGGAAAAGAGATAATAGAGGTCTATACAAAGAAAGAACGAAAAGGAAAAGTACACATAAAAGGTCAAAAGGTCCTAAACAAAGAATGAAGAGGCAAGAATTGTAGCAATTTCCAATGTTTATTGAATCATTCATCTCAGCATTCATTTCCAAGTTGAGTCGCGCCTTTGCCAAGTGATTCCGGGCAGTAATCACGAAGAACTTGCCTGCGGCGTTGCTTTGTTTGAGCAACTCCATCAACCCAAAGTCATTCACACAGTCCATGGAAAAAGTACACATGGTTTTGACCAATCAAAGGTTGGACTGCATTTACATGAAGATCTGCTTTCTTTTTGGATCCTGAGATCGTGTCTGGTGGTATGGGTTTTGTGCAACAAGCACAGGAACCACTGGCCGCTGAGTTCAAAGGTTCAGCTCTGTGCAAGTCCCAGATTGATGGGCGCAACCAAAATAATGTATATACTTCAATTGGGCAAGAGGAAAACCAAGAGCACTTCAAAAGAACAAACACCTTCTGACCTATCCACAAATCCAGGAGCATAGCCTCAGGTTCCTACTAAAGCCAAGGCTGAAACATCTGTAGTTTCAGAGGGCTCATGTGCACAAGCCACGTTTCAGGGCTCAGCACCCAAGCGAAATATGATATCTTTGCAGAGAAACTGCGCAAGAAACGAGAAGACCTGATGTTTTGACATCGATTCTCTCGTTCACTCAGTACACTCTGCAAGTGGTCTCAAAAAGCCACCTGACATGCATAAAAATCACTCGGTCCCTGTTGTCCTTGTTTGTTGTTCCCCATGGTTGTTTTTTCCTGTTATTATTCTACTTCTACGTTGGGGGGGAGAAAGTTGTAAACGGTAAGTTAAGTAGTGGCGAGGAAGCTGCTCAATGCAAGGATTGCTTAGTAGGGTTCTTTGCATGGTCGAAAGGGATCCTAGATTTCTGGGGAAACTAAGTACCGTTTCATGCTTTTGCAAAGTTCCTTCAATGTCTTGTTTGAAAACAATCGAAGTCTGATTGCTCGGACTCCGGCGCAAACTTCTGAGTTTCGGATACCGCTCATGGCGGCTGATGGTGTTGGTACATGTTTGTTCTACAGCGATCTGAGATCTCCTCAGCTCTGCTCAATGTATCCGGAGCGAAGAATCCAGTGAGGGGTCCCGTGAATGGAAAGTTACTGTGTGAGCAGTTGCTACGTGCGAAGCCCTGGTGAATGAGACCTTGCCTATGCTCCTGCCAGCAATTCCGAAGAGGGCTTCCTCTTCAACGGCACAGAATCGCTAAGCATTCCTGCCAGAGTGGGGTCACAAACGAGCAGTGTGTCTAAAACAAAAATGTGGACAGGTGGCCTTTAGAGGACCTTGATCTAGAAATGTGGACCGAGTTCTCTACAGCACTGTCCGCAGCAGTCCTTTGGTTGAGTCAGCCAGTTTTCGGGCCAAACTAGTGCTAAACTGCTGGACCCTCTTGGACTTCACCTGCAGGAATTGGATCGTGTTAAGTTTCTCCTGCGCCTTTTAACGGCTTCAATTCACTTACACTTATGCTCAAACAAGTTTAGGTGTATATATATAGGTCTTTCTGCTTCATCAGCTTCATGGAGTCTCTTCGAATTTTGCGACATTAAATTCATTATTCATATGTCTAAAGTCCACAAGTGCATGAGTGAACTCGAGCGAGCCAATTTCTAAGTGGCGGGCAAAATACTCATTGGTAAAGTGACCAGCAACCATGACCAGCAGCAAGTAGAGTGGAAAGAACCTCTTCGGCAGAATGCCTCCCCAAAGCTTCTCAGCAATCTTCCTGAAATTGGATCAGTGCAGTGCACTCATGTGATACATTCGAAGCAGCAGAAACCCTGAACAAGGGGGGGCAAATCACTGATTTATTGATCAGTAACGTTTCCAGGGTGCACAAGAGATCAGGTGCTTTCGCTTTCTTGGCCAAATGTCTTCTTGTAGAAGATCTGTCCAAGAGGTCCGTGCAAGATAAACATTGGAAAGGCCAAAGAACCCAGCCAGGTCATGCTCTTCGATCCGAAAAAGCGAGTGATGCGGTGCGGGTTCTCGGTGAGGCAGTCCCTGTCATGCGAAGTGCTAGTTTGGCCTGTCAGTTCCTCACACCAAACCAGTGTTTTCTTTTTTTGGCCGTAGAGTCGTAGAGGTAATAACTAGTAGTAGCTAGAGGTAGCTACTAGCTGCAAGTGGACGCTACTACCAACGGTCGAAGGATAGCTCCAACTGATTTGGTTCCTAGACTTTTAGGGAATCTTAAGTAGCAACTTGAGTGTGATTCGTTGGTTGAACTTCAAGGGTTCATGTGACTCTGAGACAGATTCCCTTACCAATGACGCACCTATGCATCTCTACGAGGAACTTGGTGTAGAGTGGCATGAAGAGAAGCGTTCGAATCATTGCGTCATTCAGGTTCAAGGTTGTGAGCCGCAAGCCCAAAGATGCATAGCTTGCGAGAAACAGCCATAACGGGTTCATCGATGGCTTCTGGCTTTCGTCATCAAGCATCACACACCTTGCCGCTGCTACACCAATCACAATCTCCACGAGAGCACCAAATGGGTGAAAGCGAGTAACGTTCCAAAGGTATGGATGGGCTGTCTTCTCTGCAAATCCTCCACAGCAATAAAACTTCCATGCCTGTGAATATGACAGCTTCTGGAGGAGTGACACTGCTGATAGTGCTACCAAAAGTTTCTGCAGGCCATCCTTCGACAATTTGGCTACTTGCGGCAAAATGCTTGGCAGCGTAATGTTGGCAAAGGACAAAGCTGATAGGAACCAAGTGGGTGGGTTCCAGATCTCTGCTTCGGAAGGAAACCAAGCCTGCAGGAGGCTGTAGTTCAGGAAGGCATGCATCCCAGTGGTTCGCCAGGAGTTGTTCATCAATCGATCCGTAGCTATAAACATTGGCGCACCCAAAGTTGAGACCAAGAAATGCAGAGGATAATAGCCCATCACCTGATTCTGCCAAGTCTGTATGTGGCAAAGCAAACACTCACCTCGAACTGATAAGGAAAGCTATTTTGAAGCGTTCAGGTGGTAAAAACACATTGTGCATACAAGAACCTGTCTCGGCTTGGACATCTAGCAGTGACAGTTCTGTGGGATACATATCACAAGGCCAGGTAACCTTTTGCCAGAAGAAGAGCTCCGGCTCCTTCAGCTTCTTCGCGTCGTGACTTCGCTCTCTTAGCTTGGTTGTAGTGTAAGCTGCCACGTACCCAGAAATACTGAAGAAACCACCCACCAGCACATTCTCCTGCGTCAACAGCTTCAATAATCGCTTGTTGTCTGTACCTGAGCTTTAGGGCCGGGGCACTGATATGGCTTCCAGGTCCAAGCGTTTCACACTTCGAGATTGAGATCAGTTGCCAAAGCGAATGAAGTGGCCAAGAATGATCGGGAAAACCAAGGCAAAGCGGCACCCATCGATGCAGTCAATGCGAGGCTTCACGACCGTCGGGACGACCTGGCCAGTGAAAAACAAACAACTTTGTGGAACCTGTTCGTCTTTTCTTTTGTTCTTTGGACCTTTAGAATCCTTCTCTTAAACTCTTAGACCTTCCTAACTAGAAGTCTAAACTAGAATTCCATTACTGTATATATATATATATATATGTGTGTGTGTCTAAACTAGCATTCTTCTAAACTAGAATTCCTTTTGGGTGTCTTTACTTTCATTCATGCAACTTTCTTGTGAGGACTTGTGAGAGTAGCGTCCATTTCCATTGTATACACGGTGGGGTGTTTGTCCATTTCTTCACATGTCGTGCCTTGGAACTCTGTGACATGCTGGAGCTTTGTGCTACCTGCAAAGCATTTGGTGAGAAAATTAAGAAGTTGTTTTATCAAGTGCTTGAAAGAAGCACCGAGTCCAACACGCCCTTGAAAACTAATTAGTCTGCAAAGCATCTTGATTGAAGTGCTGCACAACATGGCCGTAATGGCCTGCTTCGTGTCAGCCATGAGAGCTGTGACAGGATGAGAATCACGCTTCACTGGCTTCGCTGCCGAAGCATTCGAGCCACAAACAGAAATAGCAACGAAATGGAACTGATTGGCATTGCAAAGCCATTCGGTTGCCTCTCGTTTAGAGTCTAAATGTCCTCTTCTAGGTTGCACCCTTCGCTCCCCACTCCAAGCCTACACCAGTGACTGAGTCGAGGGTGCGAAGTCCAGCAACCGCTGAAGCCATGGCTCTTGAATATCTAGTGCTTTGATCCAAGGCTTCCAAGGACCCAGTGAGAAGCGTCAAATGGACAAGATTCGGACGGAACTCGAAGGCGATAGATACTGAGATCCTGGAAATATCATGCACCACATTCTGTAAGAACCCAACCGCGCTGGTGCAGGCTCGTGGGCCTTGGAGTAGTAAAAAGGGTACACAAGGTCACGAGGTCACTTTTGACTTCATTAGGTGGGTGTCTTTCTCTGTGTGTGTGTTTGTGCTGCATAACCAGGGTTCACTTTTTGCAGCACGGAACAGCATGGGTAGGCGGAGTGCTTTCAAGCAGCTTCGCGGCATCCATTCCATTGTGCAAGCGTGCATTGATTTGGGCAAAAACACAGCCACCAAAGCTCCAGTGTATGAGATTCACGTCCAAAAGTCATGCTGGTATGTAACATGTATATATATATATATAGTAATCAACAATCTTGATCACGGCGATTCTGTAAATAAATGTAAATGATCTATAAGTCACTTTGGCAGCCTGTACGGTTCTCTAGGCTCGGAGCTCACGTCGGGTTCCCGAGCGGAGCTCTCTGAAGCGGAGCTGTTTGAAGCATTTGAGTTGTTGCGCTTCCCTTGAAGGATGGTGTGCCAAGTTGCAAACTCATCTGTGCATTTTTCCGGTCAAGATTCGTCGGTGTAACCATGCCACTGAGCTGAAAAGTGCCCCCTTCCAAAGACTCTGTCTCCAAAGATGCAACTTTCAATCCTCGTGGTTTCGGTGTGATCCTGATGTTTCCAGCATGCAAAGTCGCTGTAGCCATGGTTGGAGTCATTGACATTGCAGCTGGAGGGAATGATTGAACTGTTTCGGCATCCGCAGCTGTTATGCGAGTTCGCACGCTGCGGGTGCTCCGCGACATCATTGGTTGCCTCTGTGAGTTTGTCGGCGTTTCTAGGGTTGGAACACATGGCAAATCATCCGTATTCATCTCCAACACTGGGCCGGTCTGCCTCTGATAGCCCAAAACTGGCCTCTGTGGGACTGTTGCTGGCCGCACTGAGATGGTTGTAGCCAATGCATTCGACACCTCTGGGCCCCAATTTGCACCATGAACTGCGGAGCGTACGCTTCGAATACTTCTAGGCATCATTGGCTGACGCTGTGCATTGGTTGGAGATGGTAGCACAGGAGGAGCCACTTCACTGCTGTCGATCTTCAGTTCCTCAGGCATGAGACGGGCATGCATGAGATGCGTGTTGAAGAAGGCACCGCGCAAAGTAGTGAGTAATGCAAGTACGAGAAATACAAACGGAATCCAAACGAACAAATGACCAAATGACTATTCTTTCTTGTCCATGGCTCGGGGCGAGGTAGCTCTGTGGCTGGCACCAGCGAGGCAGGCTCTGCAACCTTCATGTGAGCTGCATAAACAACCCATTGTTACTGTTTGAGAAACTGTTACTGTTTGGGTGTAGGATTGTTACAATCATTGTAGACCAGGGAGTTTGGCACTCAAGAGTGGCATGCCCCATGTATGGGAACCCAACCGACTTCAAAGAACATCTTCACAGTTTCAGCCTGCCCAATCCGGCCGCTTCCTCGGAAAGAAGGAGTGCCTGCAAGTGGCCCGGCCCACCCATTGTCCGTCAATACAAAACACAACTCACTTGCAGATCTCACACAACAGCAGCCCACCTGTCTGCATGCTCATATCCAGATTTGGCCGCACACTGTTGGCCGGCGTGATGTGTCCCGTGGAAAGCGGGTTAACAGGCCCAGCCTGGCTGCAAAGGGCTGCGCAAACTAGTAGCGATGCACTTGTTACTAATAGCTTATTGTTCCTAATAGCTTCTTGTTACTACTAGTAAGGCACTTGTTACTAGTAGCGATGCACTTGTTACTAATAGCTAGCTGGAAACCAGTTTGAGCGAATCACCAAGCATCTGAGTTGTTCCAAATTGCTTTTACCCAAGAGTGATCGGTCGCTTCCCTTTCGCGAACCTTTCGCCTGCTTTCACGGCTACCGCAAAGTGCAAACTTATTTCCTCATGTTGCTCTTGTTTCTGGCTTCATCGGGGGTAATCTCTACTTGCTTGCTCTCGTCAGCAGTTTCATCGCCCCTGTAGAACAAAGAAAATGCTTTGAAACAAGCGTGCAGTGTCTTGGCATGTTACAATGTTTGGGAGCAGGAGTGTTTCAGGTCATTCATATCATAGATTGTCATAGCAATTCGTCTGATGCATCTGTATCTTTCTTCAACTCAAATGAAGAAGAGCCTGCATGACTTCCTCACCCAGCGCAAGCTGAGGCCGTCGGAATGCAAGAGGGGAGGCCATTGCGATGTTTGAGGCTTGGTTGACGCATAAACTAGGCTGGGTTGTTCCTGGTTTGTTGTGTTTTCTTTTGTTCTTATGCTGTCCTCAGAAATCTGCTACATAGATAACCCTCCATGTCAGCTTGTTGAATACATTCAAATAGCTCAACTGCGCTGTGAGCCCACTACTGCCATCTCTCGTTGAGCATAATCAATGTTTATCTCGAAGTACTGCTCACTCGATGTGATCTCCACCGTTTTGTTTACCCGGTGCTGGCTACCTGTTCTTCTCAACAAGTGCCTGGCGTGAAAGCAGAATTTGCACATCTGGCCTTAGACAAAAAGGAATGAACTGTCCCAACCCAACATGCCAGGATGGGTGCAATTCTTTGATGTCGTGCAACTTAGACTTTCACACATCTGTTCAAAAAGACCGATACCGAGGGCTTCACACTGGTGAAGTCCGAGCACCTTGCCTATCCTCACAGGACAAGTTGACCCGAAGTTGAAATACATCGACTGAAAAAGCTCGACTCTCAAGCGCGTTTGATCCCGCTATGGTGTGCGCATGTACCCCTCCGTTGCCCGGATGGATGAGTTTGCCAAAGGGTGACGATGTTGCAGTTCTCTTATTGGATTCATTGGCAATGCCAGAGCGTGGTCTTGCCCAGGTGCACTTTGGACGATCTGATGCAGAACTGCACAACTGTGGGCGAAAGTTGCAAAAGGGATTTGAAAGAAAAAGCAACAAAAGAAATTTTCATTGTGTGTTTGATTTTTGTGTTTTAGCTTAATTTGCAAATTGGTTCAGGCATGTTCAGGGCCAAAGTTGCTGGGTCTTTGCCACTCTGCGCTTTGACTGCAATCGTTCTTCCCAACTTCTCACAGAAATCCGATGGTGCAGTAGACATGCCAAACAAGGTCCCAAACCAACCAACACAATCTCTCTCTCTCTCTCTTAAATCAAACAGGCCCAGATATGACAAGGTCAACATCTCAATCGATTGCATGGCAGACCGAGCCTTGCTAGGGATAGGAGGAATTCGTGGCGATGGCCTCAGTCTCCGTCACGCTCTGCGACTATTCTAAAACACTTTTATTCGAAAGAGTTCATGGTCGATGCAGCCGATGCAAACATTGGTGATCTGCATGATACTGTGTGGTCCTTTACCTTTGTATAGTGGCTGATTTTCACGCGAGCACAGCTCCAAGCACACTTGGTCAATTGCTGCGAAGAAGTGCCCGGTCAAATCCGTAGCACGCTACGGGCTAAGGTACAAACAAAGACATCATGCGAACACGCCTTCAAACAGCCGTAGAGTCCAAACCTGAATGCAAAATAATCGCAGCTGGCCATACTCAGTACTCCGTGCGAAAGCACAATGCGCTTTCCAGAATGTTCGTGCACCACAGCCAGAGCAAGGTTCAAGGTGAAGTCATGTGTTCAACCATCTAAGCCCGCAGCCACAGGCATAGTAGGAACATGCCAACTCTGCATGTTGCTGAAATACAGTGATGGCAAGTCTGCCGCTTGTCACATGCTTGTTTTGTGTTGCATCTAAGCTTCCAAGTGCTAGCCATACTTCATGAATGCATTCAAATCGTGATGGTCCAACCCGCTTACAAGCTTGTGTGAACAGTCAAGTCTCCGGCCTGCTACGCTCATTAAATACATACTGAGAGAAAACACTCTGTGTTCTGAAGGTCAAACCACATCAAATCCTGAGACTCTTACGCCCCAAATGGCGCCTGAAAACTAAAAAGAGCGCCAACGCCTCGAAGAAAGCCCAACACGATCACTTGATCTCCCTTTGGCTCTTTCGCACGTTTGGAAGCTTTACACAGCTCAGTCACTGTGACTCTTGTCCTGCCAAACCCAGTGTTCCAACCAACGATTTGCTTGTGCGTTGCCTGCTGTGAGGCACTTTGTTCCATCGCAGGTTTGGCAGGTGCTTGTCCACACTCAGTCTTCTGCATCCACACTTTGGCCATTGATTGATTGGCTAGCAAATCACTGCTGAAGCATCGATACACAATGATACACATGCTTTTTGCAAGGACGGCCGAAGCTTGGATCTGGTCCATCAGCTGAACTTCTTGCATTGTACACATTCGTTGCCGCCTCGAGTTTCTTAGATTGCTTGGCAGCCCACCAGATCACTTTCCCTGCAGTGACATAGTGCGGCACTGCAGCCACTCTATCAGACTCAGACTCTCATCTAAGTGTGTTCATGCTCAACATATCAATGTCAGGTCTCTTCCAAGCAGAATGGCCCACCGTTGCAAATGCACCTTGCCATCACCCTTTCCACCGGGCTTTGGGGCATCCTTCAAGAACCTCGAACAAAGTAAAACGCTTCCAATCTTAAGAAGAACCATGTCACAGCTCGCTCGAATTTGATCACCTCTATCCTCTATCTATCCGAGCACGACATAAAGCCCTTTGATTCTGGGTGTTGTGCTGGTTGAAGGTCTCTCCGGGGTTCACCAGCTTGTCCTTGTCATCCTCAAGTCAGGGACATCGTCGTTCGGACCGCTCAGTTGTTCCCGCCGCTCATGGATTCAAGCAAGTTTAGCTCTGCCATCAGTGTTGTGACCAGTAGGTCACTGGCGGTTCCGAAGCAGTAGTAGGTTGCTGCCTTGGATCCGATTCCAAACTCTGCTGAAACACCTCCATTGAACTTCTAGATTCTAGGCATTTCAAGGGGTCTGTCTGGAATTCTCAACATTCATGCATGTTTGAGGTCTTAGGTTTAGAAGAACATTTGCAGTTTACCAGAAGGTGTCCTTTGACCCTTAGCTCTGCACATGGCGATCTTCAGCACCCCTCATGGCCCCCAAGAAGCTTTCGAAGCCCGATCCCGTGGAGGACATGCCTGCAAATCGTACACTTCCAAATAGAAACCGGAAACACTGCTTGGATTGATTACTCACACCCATTCCAGCCTTCCAACGCGCTATTAGATGTGGTACAAAAGTAAAGCTGGGCCAAGCTAGGCAACGAGAACGCGCGATGTCTATTTGTGTGCTGATTGAGTGACAACCTAAGCAGGGTAGTGCACTGCTTCAATAGGACAGAAACTAGCTCAACCTCTACGGCCCCCTAAATGTTGACCTGATTGGATGAGATCAAGACTCAATGCCAACAAGTATGACTGTGTCCATGAAGTTGCATGCGAAAGTGTTGAAACTTTGCAGAGTTTGATTCAAGAGACCACACCACTAAGAACAAGCATCCAGAACTGGTGGTCTTTTTTGCGATCTATCATCTTGCGAATACTGTCGCGTCTCTTCTGCATTGGAGACTCCTCCCAAAGAGGGTGGTGGCTCCACATACATCAGCGGTTGACATGCCTTGTAGCTGGCACAAACCATGGTCCTCATGCAAGCTGCTTTGCTTGGCCATATAGAGTGTCCAAGACCTGTCAAATGTATTCAAAACTCACATTCAGTCACATCAGTGAGCGGTACAAGTCTGCGTTTCTTCTGTAACTCATGTGTCATGAAGAAACTCCAAACTAGAGGCCAACAGTCTCGGAGTGCCTCTGAGGTGTTCTTGATGGTCTTCAATGAGTTGTCGTACGTTGAGCTCACCTCAGGAGCAAACTCCCATTCTCTTCGCACCCCTTTGTCTGAGACTGAGGCCCGTCGATGCTCATACTGCACACATCATGGTTGTGTCGTGCCCCAAATAGCCCAGTGGGAGGGAACCGTAAAAAGTGTTTGCGAAATTATTGTAAACCCCTGAATTGCTTCGGGAGTTAGAATAATAAGCAAATGATGTTCTTCCAGCATGTGTTATATTTAAACAAGTGTGTTTTTTTGAGCAGAGCTTTCTATTGGTCAGCTCTTGGCTCCCTTTAAGATCCTTCGGTAGCTTCTGCTAACACTCTGACCTGAGAACCTTGTCAAAGCCAATGTTTCAAATCATTGAGAACATTGCCCCAAACAAACTTCCAACGGGGTTGTCCACAAGCCCAAAGGAACTGAATTGTACACTTCTGAGGATTCTGGGGGGTGGGAATAGTTCGAAGGCTTGGAGCAATAGGAAAAATATCTGATCTGAGTTTTCTATTGCTCGTCTATTGGTTCCAGCTTCTGCTTACCTTTTGCTTGACCTGAACATCTATGACAACAACGACAACTGCCTTCTACTGACAAAGCAAACACCTACATGAGTGAGAAGGAAACATGGTGACATCAACTCGAAAAAGCACAAGAATACGAATCCGCATCTGAAAAGCAACTCGAATGCTTCATTCTCTCCACCTTTGAGAATCACTTCCACCTTGGGTTTTCGTGGCTGTTTAGGCCTGCAACTTTGAAACAACATGTGTAGTTGAGACGCGTTCTTTCATTTCGTGTAGTCTCGATAGCGTGTAAAAGGTCAAGGTCAGGTCTGGAGGAAGTTTTGCTTTGGTCGGCTGGAGTGATGTTTGGTAGTTGTTTCATGTTGCCCCCAAAGAATGTGGTGCAGATTGTTCCGGTAAAGGAAAACTTTCTAGAAGAGGTCTTGCTTCATTCACGAGGAGGAGGCGAGGGTTGCGAACTTCAGTCGGTTGCCCACTCTTTTTGGTGGGTGTCACCCCAAGGTTCTGTGGCGTCCTTGCTCCTAGTAGAATTGCCCTTTGTTCCTAGTAGCTACTTGTTATTAGTAGCAAGAATGCTACTCGTAGTAATGCCCTTTGTTACTACTAGCATCCTTTGCTCCTAGTAGTAAGGCCAGGAGCGCCCCTAGCAGCGTCCTTGCTCCTA